AGTTCAATTCCCAGCGACCACATGGTGGCTCACAACCATCCGTTATGAGATCTGGTGCCCTCTTCTGGTGTGCAGATAGACATGGAAGCAGAATGTTGTATACATATTAAATAAATAAAATCTTAAAAAATAAAATAAAATAAAAAGTAAACCAAGCTGGTGGCCTGCGATGGACAAGGGTGTACAAGAGACACAAGGCAGTTTCCTGTTCCCTTGCGTGTAGGTGGCCAGGTAGCCCTCAAATAGGAAGTCATTGTGTCCCTTTCTACAGGATGGGAAACTGAGTCTAAGGCAAGGGAAGTCAGGTGTGGCCTGTGACAGTGGGCAGTGTGTGTCTGGGTACAAAGGTGAGTTACACCAGGAGTAACACGCAGGGAGAGAGGAATGGGGTTCCGGGATCCTGGCCCACTCAAGCTTGTCTGTGACTTCCCCCAGCATCCATGACTACAGAAAGCCTGATCCCCACACTGAGCCCTGAGAACAGCCGCTGGAGCCTGGTAAGGACCAGGGTGATGGAGATGGTGAAGCCATTGGTGACCAGGACCAAAGACAGATGGCAGTGGTTCTGGTGAGAGTTCTGGTACTCAGCTGGGAGGGAACACCAGAGTTAGAGGAAAGAGAGCCAGGGCCTAGACCCTAGGTCTGAGGGAGGAGGGTGGGGTCTGGACCCCTGTGTCTGAGGGAGAAGACCTGGGCCTGGAACTCTGGGTCTGAGGGAGGAGGGCTGGGCTGGACCCCTGGGCCTGAGGGAGGAGGGTTAAGAGTCTGGAGTCTTGAGTCTGAAGATCAGAAGTAAATGGGCCATACCCCTGTGGCCTCTAGGGTGTCAACTAAGATGTCCCCTTTACACAGGGGCCCAGAGGCTGTCCAGGGCTTTGTGCAGACCTACTACGAAGACCATTTGAAAGACCTGGGCTCCCGCACTCAGGCCTGGCTGCAAAGCTCCAGAGACCAGCTCCTGAACAAGACCCACAGCCTATGTCCCAGGCTGCTCTGCAGGGACCGGACTCAGGGTTAAAGTGCCACACACCTCCCCTGGGCACCTGCAATAAAGCTGTTTGTTCTTAATCTGTGTCACTGGCTGAGTAGCTCCCCTTGAGGCCAGAGGTCAGTCCTCGTCATATCTGGGAGTTAATAAGTGGAAAAGCCATCACCTGTCACCTGACAGGGGAGGACACTAGGAAAGCATTAGGGGAAGGGTACAAGGTGACAAAGCCCCCTCCCGAAACGGTTCCGGCTTGAAGTCAACAAGAGACTTCCAGGTGCCTGCTCAGATCCAGGAGGGGAAGTCTTGAAGGTCGACATGGGTCAGAGGAAACTTTTCCTCACTTCCTGGGCCATGCAGATCTTAAACCTGAGTGGGTTCCCCAAACCCAAAACCCCCTCTACAATGCCCAACTATCTCTCAGGAATCAGGGGGCTGTCTCTCTTTTTGGGGGGAGGAGGCAGTGGGGGGGTTCCAGGAATTGAACCAAGGGCCTCAAATGTGCCAGGTAAGTGACCTATCACTGAGCCACATCCCCAGCCCACTTTTAAAAATTACATTTATGCCTGGTGGTGGTGCCCCACGCCTTTAATCCCAGCACTCCAGAGGCAGAGACAGGCAGATCTCTGTGAGTTCGAGGCCAGCCAGATT